AACTTTTTCGGAATTTTATAGTCTCAACCATTAAGATAACTTCAAAGACAATTGATGTATTGTGATAATTTATTATTGTATATATGGGGCATTCCATGTCAACTCTTGTGGTTACAACACTCATTTTTTAATTGTTTGTAAATTGGTCCATCTATTCACCGCGTAAATATAACAGTTTGTATATTTTCATTTTGATTTTTAATGGGCCGTTCTGTCTCAATCGAGTTATCATTTTTTTTTGAGACGTAATTTATGATTTGCTGTGATGAGTTACTCAAAAAATGTCAGTTTTTAGGTGGAAAATTGAAAAAATACAGCAATGTTTTAATTAATCATTATTATGACTCTTTTAGAGTTCAAAAACGTTAATTTTCGATACAAAAACGTCATTATTGAAAATAACCCACTCTTAATCTTCATTAAATTTTTACTACTTAAAATACTATATTTTCCGCTGACTACGGCGTCCATCGCATTATTGGATCTCAAAAGGAAACTTGCTTATATATTGAAAAAAGCAACACAAATTTTGGAACTTCAAGACGTTTTCAGAAATAGTTTTTATAGATGTAAGTTCGGTAGAAAATCATATTGGTTACAACAATTTATATCATAAGAAAGTATAGGAGCTCCTATACGTTCATAAAAAATATGATATGTAAATAATATGATTGATTATAATTTAAAAGCATTTGGCCACAACTTTATAGATTTCGAATAAATGGGAATTGTTCGGTTAAAACTTGATTATCACCGTTAAGAAATTGCAACTTGAAATTGATAATAGCGATATTTGATGCCGTAGTACATATTATTATATAGTGGATAAGATTATTACACAGTAGGCCGGGAGGGTGCATTCATACAGCAAAGTAGAAGATATAAAAGCTGGAGCGTCACGTGTGGATAACAGCCCCTTTTCTATATATATGAGTATCCTATTATCATTCTCCATCCTCAATCGTTCCCTTATGCTTGACTAGTAGTATCCATATCATAGCTGCCAATCGCTGTTATGGTGTTTAAGAAATTAAAGGAATAAATAATGAATTATATGCCAATATAAGTGAAATTTTCGTGGAAAGAAACTGGTTTCGAAATAAAGGAATCAGTGCTAGGAGGTTTTTTGGAGTGAGCTATATTCCAACTGAAGCCGGCATATAATAATTCTCAGCTAAACTCTCCTGATGTTCATTTCATTATTTTTTTTACCTCCCTCTATCATTCGTATGTTTTCTTCCCTTTTTAGTTATCTCCCCTTCTCAATTCTTTTCTCGCTTTCGACATTTTTCCCCTTAATTTTCCATTCTGAGGACGCGGTGCACAGGCACTTTCATTTCTCTCCCTTTCTAACTGCTATAGCGGTCGGGTGAGATGCTGATAAGTCGCGACGCTAAGGGGAGAGCACCGAATAGAGGTATGCATTCTGGCGCGCCGGCGTTGCAAAAGCCGCGTTTCTGTTATATTGTCAGAAGAGGCGTGGTTTTAATACGACGTGCACTCTCTTCCACCGGCTAAATTCTCAAAAGGCTTTCGTATATGTATTTTAGAGGCTTGGCTTCAATACTTCGGCACTTTTCGCCGCTTTTGTCTATCTGCTCACCCAACACTCCATTTGCCCCGCTTGCGTACATACTTTGTCTTTTTTTATTCTTTTGCTATTAGAAAAAGAAAATTGAATAGAGTTGTAATCACTTAATGGCACAAAATGAGTGAGATGGTGATGTTCAAAATTTTACGTTGTTGAATTAGTTCCAAATTCGTGGAGTTCGGCAAGTCATTCCCACACAAAACGAATATCTTAATTCAACTACTCGGTGATCGAGACTGAAACTCATTCTTTTCCATTGGCGACAATACGGTGATGCAGATCCCGTACTCGTTCTATAGAAATTCCATCCTTTGTATAAGATAACGTCATTCGACATGAATGTAATTATCAAGATAAGAATCCACTGTGAAAATAAAAATTTTGTAGTATATCATGTTCGCCATGTGTAAAAATCCATAACAATCTGATTTTTGACGTACATATAGATCATACATAATGTATTACCTATAATATCTGCTTAATAGTGGGAGTACCATTTTTTATGCCCTTGTACAGAGAACCACCCGCATTAAACATCCTAAGTCATCTCGACAAGATACACTTTTCCAGCGTCTATCACAAAGACCATACTTTCATGATAGGAGATCTCTACTTATTTATCTCTATTTAGTTGTGATATATTTTATCAATTCATGATTCGAAAATATTACGAAAAGTTTACAAAATTTATCCTCTATAAACTCAATTATTATCAGTTCATTGGGTTCATTAGGGTTGATAACGTTTTATCACACTTGGTCAATCAGCTTCTGTTAAATATAATCCAGCAACCAATACGATATTTCTGAATTGATAGGAACATTTTGAAAATTTTATTTTGCTAATTGATTGTACGTACAATATATATTTTTTTAAAACAACTTCTACAATTCAACGATGAACGCAATACAAACTTAACGTCCAGTTTGTCGGTACCAAAATAATCGAAAACAGCCAATCATCATCCCCACCAGGGCATTAAATAGAAGTAGAACTCGAATAAAGAGTGATATTATCATGCATTTCAACTGGAAAATAATAGACTTGCTCTCGGAACCACTTTTGAGGGTTAACTCTAACAAATATTGTGAAAAATAATAGTATATGACACATACTACCCATGCATACAGACCAAGCATAAATTGCACAAAATCAAATATTTTAACCCTTAGCTAGAACATTTACTTTTCAGGCAGCCGTCAAACAATATACTATTTCAAAATTCCAAAAAATTTGGTAGAATTAGCGTCCTGTCCGAAGGAAACAATCGATCAATTATACGAGTGAAGAAATTCTAGCGCCATAGTCATAGCACAAGATGTTTCCGTAGTAATTTTGAAGCAGTGGACTTCGAAAAATATATAATACCGATTACTTAACGACAAAAATATTTTCTTTACGCTAGAAAGTTTATAACCCTAATTTATTTATAATCTGATTTTTTCAATTGATCATTGCACTATCTAATCGGTGTCCTTACGATAAATTGTTTGAACGTACTTGGAAACTTGCGTATGATTTACGAAAATTCCAATCATATTTTTTTTTTAACACACGCAGACATACTATATTATATATTACCTGTTTTGAACGCAAATTTTGTAAACAGCTGTTTTAAAAATCTACCTAGAAATCAATGAATATAATTTAGTCCAAGTTAAAACGGCAATTTTCTTCTAGTAAACTATTTAACAATTAATATTTGACCATATTAGACGTAAAGATCGTATTGTTTAGCGATAACACATAAAAAATATGTCTAATTTAATTAAAAAAAAAAAAAGTTGGAATGAATACTGAGAACCGGTTGGAAAAAGATCAGATTGTGATGTTTAATGGATTAAGAAAGTAATGGAGTAAAATTATTGTTTTGTGAAAATGACAAATGTTAACCTATTACATTGGTATTGATGCTATAAGCGACGAAGATAATACATTTTTATAAGGGATGTAGGGAAAACTAAAAGGGGGTAAACCCTATTCCACAGTACTCCTCCCAAAAGAAGGAGGGAGATACACCTAGGATATATACAATCCCGCTGGGGGTAGACATGGAGAATACGGAAGAGTGGAGGAGGAGAATGTTGTGAGGGCGTGGCTAGGTATCACCCCCGTTGATCGTGGATTGGCCAACGTAGTGAGAGGCATTGTCAAATAAAATCCAATCGTTGGACCAAAGGAATTCGCATATTCCTGTGGAAAACTTTTTTCCCTCACTTTCCTTTTTTTTTGTATCTCGCCTCTCTTTCGGTTATTACCGTCTGAAACTATACGAGAATTTCCTGTCTCATTCTCTGATACCCCACCACGTGCATAGCGAAGGGAGTTTATATACCCAACGTCCCATCTATTTACCCATTAAAAACGTACACGCCTGCGCAGATGATCAACCATTTAGTTCTCTCTATTCTTCAGTGATTTTAAAGGGGTGTGCAGTTCCGTTTGATGGGAGTATGATTTTATTATGGCATTACCGAACCCGAGCTAAACCTCGAAATGCTTGCCTCATAGTCTACGCTATTTCAACGACTGTAAAACCAGTGGCTTTTCCAAGAGAGAAAGAGGGATGTATATCAATGGGTATGGATAAGTAGTTGAAAAGAAAGCGAAAAAAAGGGGATAAAAAAAGCTGAGTGAACGGCACAGGCTGTCTTCCGAGCAATTTTACCGCCTTTTTTCAACCTGTACCCCCCTACCCTGTACCCATGCCTGCAGACTTACGAATCAAGCCTTCTCGGCCGTCTACATCACAAGCAAGGAGGAGGGGTCGTTGAGCACTAGAATATCATCCCTTCTCCGTCCACATATATCCATGAGATTTGTCTCTCTTCTAACCAGGAACCAACTCATTCGGCGCCTGTAGTCACGGCGTCAACATCGTGTTTAAATCATTGAACTTTTTATGTCTAGATAAAGAATCTATTAATATTGAGTATTCACTAGTTGTTGGTGGCATACTTTACTCATATTTAAGTGTTTTTTGAGCATTACTGTTATGGTGACAAAGTATGGATAGTGGTTAAGAATAAGAGGATGTATCGATAAGTTCAATCAAAATCAATTTATTTATGCCATCTTTGTTTGTGTTCGTGTAAAAGTGAAATGATACCGTCATCAGCCACAATGCTGAAAAACTTGGAGCAACGCACTGCATCAAGTTTTCTTATGGAAAATTTGCTGCAGAATAAAACATCGAATGGTAGTGATTTCAGTTTGACGTTTAATTGGGCGGCGAGTTTGATGGTTAAGCAGCGGGAAAAAGACGACATAAGAAATACTAGTGAACATCTATTGAAAAAAACAAAAAGCGATTTTGACCGCGATATTGATGATGAACCATTGATACATGCTGATGGAGATTTAGAAACTGAAACTGAACCTGAAACAGATGCTGAAATTACAACGGGTTGCTATCACCGATTATCCCAGTTTCGACTCACGAAAACATTTAAATCGGACGAAATTCAAGATAATGAGCGATTTGTCGGGGAAAATATAGATAGAGAGTGGATGCGATTCAATGGGAGTGAATCGTCTGAAAAAATTGTGAAAAATGAAGAACGACTTGCCAATGATGAAACTTGTAGTCAAAATTGCTCCGACGATCAATGTCAATATTCATCGTGTCCAACTCATTCATTCATCTCATCTACTACAGAATCCCGGGTAATTCAAAAAAAGGAGAAACCAGAATTAAAGTTTGGTGTTAAAGCAATTCTAGCCGATGATAATGAAAAACGTCGAAATACAGGTAATTTAATGACAACACTATTTCCATTTAGTCAATTTCGTCTTATGCATGATGATTTTATCCATATTATTATCTTAGAAAAAAATTTGTTGTGGTGTTATTTAACTAAAGCATCAGAAGAGGTATTCACGCTCGAAACAAAGCTCTCGCTACAAATCAGTGTCGAGTGCAGATTCGCACACCCGACGCTCCCTAAATCTCATTGCCCCCACACCCTCAAGACAAGAGTCGCACAGCATGCGTGCGACTCCTCACTCACTCATTCTGCCTCCGGTGTATATAACATCCGACTATGCCTCCTACTTCTATATATTTTCCATCTCCCTCACTTCTACCGTTCGTATACGTAACGCCATCGAGGTGGAGCCCCTGAAGGCCCTGGCGTGGCGTCAGCTGTTACGCCACTTAGCTTCACCCCTAATATTAAGCCCTCACGATTGGTGCCTTATCATATATTAGACAAGTGACAGAATTCAATGACGTATCAAATGTGAGTAAAAATTGCAGCAATTACGAAACCCAGTGGGGGCGTCAGTGGTGGGAACAACACGTATCGGGCGAACAGTACAGCAATAATTGCTTCTAGTACTTATTATGGGATACTCTAATAGAGATCAGTTTTCCCCGATAAAAAAATGTTATATGAACTTGGGTGGAAAACAGGAAAAGATGTGCACATTTGAAAGAAACCAGACTCAAATTAGTATATTTTCCAGACTGGTGCCTGAAAAAGCCATTGCTTCTGCAATGCAATTGCGAATTGCTCGTGCTTCACGCTCGGAATTTCTAATCTGCAAAAGTTGGCACAATCCAACCTAGGCAACGAAGGCATCGGAAATTATTCGACTATTTTGAGGCATTAGTGGTATTATTACTGAATATATTTGGTTAAAATTTCCGACCGATATTCATTAGTTTTTCAAATGCTTCTTATCTTTGAGCGTATTTCACGTTGAAGATTCCCTCTTGATAGAATTGATAGAAAAGGAGGTTATTCTCAACATCCCAGGTGGAAATCATGTCAGGCGAGCCTGACGTTTTATTGGGCCTGAATATGGCGGTGAAAAGAGTTAAACGATCAGGTAGAGCTTGATGAGAAATTGATGGGTTTTCGATTCACTGAAACTTATTGGTGCCACTCTGATCAGGTTCTGATATGGTGGCCTTAATGTAAACCTGAGCTTCGTTCGTCTCTAATCAATTTGATCAAGTTCGGAGGAAGTGGGATTGATCTTAGACCGGGGTCCGTCGGTTTATAATTGTTCAGATCATATTCGGATCAGGTTAGCCTGACCTGGCATCGAGCTGCTCAACTGCAATCATTCTGATCAAGTTCAGACTAGGTGGGCCTATAATTAAACTATCTGTCCGCCTGCAATGATTTGCATCGGATTCTGATCAAGTCAACTTGACCTGCAGTTAAGCTGTCTGCCTGTAATTACTCTAGCCAAATTCGGATCAAGGAGACTGGAACTAAATTATTTAATTATTAATTTATTATGGTTATTATGGTTAAAAGTATCTTCGATCAAATTTTAATTGGGTAAATTTTCACTTTTACCATATAAACGCGACGTCGTGTAAATAATTTTTCAGTGAACAAATATTGCCGATAAACATCGTATGAGCAAAACAGAGTTCACTCAATGATGATATGGCGATAGTCTAGTGGTTACAGTGAAGGATTCATACTCATAAATTCCCCGATTCGTTCCCCAGTATCGGCAAAAATAATAAGGTTTTTTCAGCATTAATTACTATAGACATTCATTGATAAAGATCTGTCAAGAATAAAAATAGACGATAAGGATAGGACTGGCTAAGCTTTCAGTGCTAACCCTGCGATCAGGGTGAAATTGACCGTTGGACGAGCCTTGATTGAGCCTTGGCATGATAACAGGTGGCAAGGCCTCATGGCCGACCCTGAATTAAGCCTGGATTGGCATTACAAATAACCTCAGACTACACGCTTTGTTATGATCATCAGAGTTGAATTAGGCTGCAATCAAGCTTGGGTTTACAGGATTCATGTGCTTAATCCAATATTGTGCATTATCGTCATCTACTCAGTTCTCTGGAAATGCATTACGGATAAATTTATTAAAACAAATGAAAACGTTATAAGTTATACATTATATGCCATACGCGGTTAGAATCCTCGACAATCTTACAGTCTGTTCCAGTTTCGAAGTGTTCGAGTTTCTCTCCAGTCATTTATAAAAAATTGAGTGTACTGATTAATGATGAACATTTTTGTTATTTAGCGGACTTAGAATTGGCATTAGAATGGTAGAAAATTTAACTTCTCATCGGCATTACCATTCCAAATCGAATATACTTAAATGGGGTATAAGACATACTTAATTCAAATATATTTTTTCCCGTGGATTTATCCGTTAATATACCATTTGGAAAAATGCAATTTTTACCAAACAGAAAAAAGAGCAATAATGTTGTTGTAGAATATAGACATGCAAAACAATATCAGATGCATAGCAATGGGTTGAAATACCTGTAGTCCTCAAAAGTCAAATCTTATAATCACCATCTTGCGTTCGTTTCCAAATTCGGCGTTATTGGCTTTGCTGTAATGTCCATTACAGCTTCTCGCGTTTTGCGCCGATACTCCAGTCTACATAAAACCCGCGTTGAAAAGAAAACTTTTTTTTTTTGTACAGAGCCTCGCGGATCACGCATACATTACTATGGCATGCACGAATACATAAGAATGCGACTAATGTAGTACTAATAATGGCAATTGAGCGCAGATTGTCTACTCACCGTCGGGCTTCCGCCCTGGCATCCAACTTATGGTACCTCGTATGAAATAATTGTGAGAAGTGTTGGATCAGTTGAGGCCTAAAGAGAAACTTGTCATTTTTTTCCTATTAAAAAAACGCCGATTTTCTTAGTCACATAATATACCAAGAAAAAACCAACAAGACTGATACACTGAGAGAAATATTCAATAAAAATTACGTGTATTTTCCGTAATTCTGGAGCGAAATGTGGTTGTCGGAAATTTTACGGAACTGTCCCGTAATTTTTATCTAAAGTCACGGAATTTTTCCGCGGTGTTCCGTAATTTTTATCTGAATTATCGGTGAAAAATAACTATACCGTCACTTAAATTTTTCGAATCAACTCCGTAATCGGTAAGTGAACTGAAAGTTCCGTAATTTTTACTAAATATTTCTCTCCGTGTACAGACATCAGATTGAAAATGAAAGAATTCATTTAGCGAGGAGAATTGTCGAGCCTTTTATGGTTGGTAAATACTTGAAATCGATTTCGATTTCGAATTTTGAGATCTGATAATTATGAGAAAACAGTGGGAAATGGATTTGACCATTCCAAATATTATTGCGCTGCCGAGCCAAGGCTGTTGCTACTACATCGCTTACTGAGCTTATTCTTTCTGTCCTTCGAGGAAGTTATTAGCTTTATAATTTTATTTCCCAAAGATAAATTAGTTCGTCGATTTGATTTTGTTTTTAATATATCGAATCATGTACGGAAAAAATGAATGATGAAGATGACTATAATGTGAAAGACTTTACCATAAGAATACGGTAGGAGATTTTTCAGCTTCGTTGTAATTTTTACCACGTAAAGTAGTAGAAATTACCTCGCTCTATGGTAGCTTACAATATGCGACTATAGTAAAGATTATTATTTTCGCTACAACAATCATAACGAATTATTATGGCATGGTTTACCATTGTGTATATCGTAAATGACATTATCTATACATCGAGCCGTTTACCAATTGCCTTTAGTAATGATTGCTTTAGTAAAACGTAGAAATTCATGATAATTTCATTAATACGGTGTATAGTAATTTTTCTCATCCTTTTTCTATACTAACTCTTACTAGAATAAAGTGTGAACTCTTCTTAAAATAAGTATATTGATATGCTACCGTAGAAAATGTAGAAAATAATTAACAAATTATCCACGCTCCGTTTTACTCCGGTGCTTCATTTCGCCCGTCTCATCCGAATTTGGAACATACTGAATTGAAAAAAGGCTTGATAAAAAATGATGTGATAAAAAATCCTTCATATTTTGACTATCAATTCCATAGTATTGGATTATGCGAAGTTACCAATTTATTCCTGGCCACCGGCTTACTTGCTCTGAAGTCATTTTTTTCGAACTCTTCCGTATTTACTGAAACAAAAATCGTGAATTGTTGAGAAATTCAGTCTTATGAACCAATTCCCGCAATTCGGTAAATATTTGATTCAAGCAGCATTCCACCTCGATTCGTATGACATCGGTAGAAAAATTTTGAGATTTGTATTCTGCTAGTGGTAATGAAAGTCTGCTACTATTAAATTGGAAAGGACTAGTAACTTGACAATATGGAATTCACAGCATTCTCCGATAGTTAATTGAAAAGTATCTAACCAAATTTAGACGGAAAATAAAAAACCAGCGAACACTTTTCAAATTCGATAAGGGAAATCTAATGAAAATTCAAGAATATATCTGATCAAGTGGTCTACTTTCATATTTAGTTTCAGAGAAAAGTGGACGATCATTTGCAATTTCCCTAGATTTTTCTAATTTTACATCTTGATTTAAGAACCTAAATTTACATCTTTCGATGATAGGATATTCTGAAATTCCAATGGAATTGCTCTACCATAAAATTTTAAGACTCTGACACAAAAAATGTGAGCAAAATTTGTTACCGGTGTTGGTCGCAATTCCTAGAGTGGACAACGAGTCTGACCTAGAAAGTGCCATCGAAGGATAATAATCCAGCGCGTGATCCAGTAAGTTCAAAGTCAACATGTCGATGAAGGATGCGGGCCAAAGAACGTTCCAAGCTATTGAGAACGTAACTCAGATACCATAAACTTTTAAAAGTTCGTGTTATCTGAATTACGTTGTCAGGCTCAATATAACACGAAAATATAAATAAATATAACACAGGCATACTATCGAGTCCCTGATATTTTCGTATCCACTATATTTAGCATGTTCATAATAGAGGAGGATAATTTTTTCCATATAGTTAAAAATTGCCGATATATTTATAAAAATATATGCGAGTTAAACACTATTATTATGATCCAGCCAATTATTATACTTTCATAAAAAGAATTTTCATTCACCCAAGTCAAATAAATTTTATTTATTGTTTCCAATCGAAACTAATAAGAAGCGCGGTCATTTTTACCCTTCCAGAGGATAAATTCTACCCGTTAAACATCATCAGTCTATTGCAATGCGTGCAACCGAGAGGCAGAAAAGAGAACCCCCCCCCCCCCTCCTCCTCCTCCTCCTCCTGCTCCTCCTCCTCCGGCCCCTCCTCCTCCTCCTCCACCCCCTCCTCCTCGCCGATATAATATCGTAAGGGACGAGGTATACGAGGTCCGTACAACGCACTGCATCCCAACGGCCGGGGAACTTGAATTTTCATTCTTTTATTCGCAATAAATTATTCAGCCGTCGAATTGAAATCTAACTTGCGCCATTTATAAGAAAAACCTTCCAAGTATCTTTAGTGAAAATATCAAATATTTTTTTGAAAATTTTTTCGATTAACGACATGAATCAATCTGTGCGCAAGCTAATTTTTTTATGTGCAACTTTTGTTGATGGGAAAAAATATAAAAAAAGCATTGAAAAAAACATCCAACAGTTGACTGCGAAGACAATTTCATTACCTTTTTACATATATTTTTTTCCAATTGTTAATAGATGTCTTAGAGTCCAAGCAAATAGTTGTTTATTGTTAACGGGAATGGATCTAGTCACATCACACCCAAGTCCGCGTGGTATAGAGGCAGAAGTAAGGTTAGTATTTTTTATCCTGATAGAACTATAATTTTTACATAAAAAATGATAAAAACTGTCCAGATGTTTCATAATTTTTAGCCTCTCATACTGACAATTTTTATACTATTAAGAATAAATATTATGCTGTTGAGGAAAAATTTTATACTGAAATATTTCTCAAATTTATCCTATCAAATGATAGTTATTGGATTGTGCAAAATCGGTACAGAATTATTCTTCCATTATGTTAATTTTTATCTAAATTTCAAAATAATTTTTACTAGAAATTTCTCTCCGTGTCAGTACTAAAGATGATCCTGCAGAATTTGATTCCCGGATGGAAAGTGAATTTCGATACATAATTAGCCAATGCGTTGGGTTTAGAATGAGTTTAAATCACTTGATTATTTCTATTTGGGCACTCTGAATTCTGACGAATAGCAGAATCTATCGAGATTTTGAAATTTCGGAGTTAATACATCCTAGGAAAATCTGAAACTAATATTTCGAAATGAGTACTTGATAATCCAGAGTAACTCATTAATTACTAATTGCGACAATCAATTACTTTCTTGATGGACAATCAAGCCAATTTATAGTCGACCCTAACCTACATAGAGGTCAGGGCTTGAAAAAGAAATGTTATTCAATCAAAGTTATAACACCTGATTCCAGGTTCTTATATATATGTGACTAACACATTACCTCAACTTACTGAATTATCTAGACTTTGGGTTTACCACTTGAAGTTTTCAAAAATTAGAATCCAATAACCTGAGAGCGTGGCAGATTTTAATTTATGAACCTAACCTTTTGAACAATAATAGCTAATTTATAGGACTGGTGATTAGCTACCTTTGGTTTTTTGAAGCGGAACGATTGAAGAGGTAAATTTCTGAAAAATATAAGAAAGATCTCATTGGTACATTTTCACCGAGATCCTGGTTAATATAAACATTTGACAATTTTTGCAGCAAATATTTGAGGAGTGCTATTTTTTAATTTGTCCATATCGCGTTTGTCCAGCGCAGTTTACGCCTTACATGGCGAAAAGTGCGATCTCCATTATGCTTGGATTACGAGTACTTTCGAGATCGTAAAAATTGCCAGAACAGTTCAATAAGATCTACACTACAATTCGTTCACTGAAATTTACAGTAATACGATAGGAATCTGCTAAAATTTCTGTAAAATTTTTCAATAATAGCAGGAAACAATTCATACCGAATTTCTAATCGGTCATGCCTTATCAAAATTCCATTCAGGCTTTCAATTTGAAACGTCAAAAAAAAAAACAGAATCAATTAAAATTTCTAATGTGTCCTTTGCATCAAATTCATTATTCAATTCTTCCAATTGTTTTGGTATTGTGGAATACTTCTCTTCGTTATATCTTGATTGACATGAGTCAATACAGTCTATAACAGGAGTGATAAACGACGAATGAGGAATAGGGAGAATTGGAAATGTTCACTATACGTACAGATACATACAGATAGTAAAAGCCGTGCGAATGTTGCATTCAACATTGACGGAATTTGCACGCGTGTCCCGCGGCGACCAACGATGGGTTGGAACGTGTGTTCATTTCCCTTCAGTACATATTAGCTCATATACAATCACGACGGTGTATCGCTCGGTAAATTTGTCGGCACTGCGGGCGTAAATGCATTGACCGTGTGCCGAGTGCATGTGTTACATATCCTTCTCTCTCACTCTATCGTATGTTCTATTTGTCTGATGCCTCTTCCAGAACTCCCACCACTTCAAATCTCTCCGTATCAACTGCGCGTATTTACCAGCAATTCTATTCTCCCAATCTATACACCTCTCTCGTATGCCTAGCAACTTCTGTACTCTGTTTTTATGTAATGTATGCCATCGATAACAATTATATATGTTTAAAACTGCTTGGTCATAAAATATAATTTCAAATCAGCTTCTTATAACAGGATTGCCCCAACTGTTTTGCACTACCATTATTGCATTTGATTCTATGTATCTATTGAAATCTCATTTGGTATAATTGTCGTCAGCAAGAAATTTGACGTTGATTTTGAATAAAAATATTTTTTCCATTTTCTATTTGATCCGCCCGACGAATAGGCGTAACGTGTGGCTAAACCTCCAGTATATTCATTACACAAAAAAAAATTATCTTCACTCTTACTATGTACAATTCTTCATTCCAAAGAGATATGAAATTAATAAACTTGTGAATTTTTATATCAATATTGAAATTTTCCATTATTTTGTCCTCAATGTGAACTAATCAATAAGAATGAAAATGCTTGTAATGATTCAGGCAAGAATTCCAAAGGCTGCCGATAAAAACAGGGCTGGAAAACCTTAGCTCACCGAAACAGTGACTCGGACCTGATCCAAGCCTGATTCTATCGTTTTATAAAGCTTGATTTAACGATAGGTTTTGAGGCTATCCGCGAGGCTCATTTTAGCCCTGGCTCAGGCTCAGAATCAAGAGGCTAAAACCACTAAGGCTCAGTCGCCCTTCGGCCAGTTCTCAAAAATGGAAAAAAACGGAACTTCAAATTTAGGGAGAATAAATTTCAAAAAGTAGGCTTTTTCCGTCTTCTGGGACCACACCCTTTGCTCACATCTCTCGACCAAGAAATTGAGTTAAGCCTGTGTAAGGCTTGGGGCTGCTTAATTGTCATTAAAAGAAAGAATTACTTGTTTTTGAGTCAATTAATTCATTAGAGTATCATATATATGATTCTTGAAACGAGGTTATGTTATTCGTTAATAACCTTTATTTTACAATATTATTAGATAATAATCTTTCATAGCTATTGCTTTTTTTGCTGAGTTATGCAATATATACTTTCGATGAATACTGCGGAAGTAACAACTGTAACAACATACCGCTCGAAGAGAGTTTACTAGAAAAAAAAATCACAGAAGGGATATTCCTATTCAGTAGTCTAGCTTAGACGTGTAGAAACCATGAGGGGATGCTCATTGATCGGTTGAAAAAACAACGATAAACCCCAATGAGTATTTTATGGGGTAACCTTGTGGCACATAACAATGTGAATCTCATTGTTACCACTCTCAATTATGGGTAAATCATTGTATAGGGCTCAAAACGGGCCACATCCATTCCGTATGGCATTATTCCGTAGACTAGATATTTTGAAATCTCATTGGATTGTGTTTTGAATTGCCTCGGACTTTTCTGTAGCACTGTCATCGCCCCCTATTAGTATGTCAATGCTATTGTGTATTACGTATAAGAGCATACAAAAGTTGTTTGCATACGTCAAACATACTCACTCAATTTCATGAACAATATATATGAATTTATCTGGAGCAAAAAAATACATTATTCTCAAGTATTAGTGTAGCATTCTACAGGTTCATAGAGTTTGTTGTTCTGATTTCAGAAAATCTACCAGTACTCCAAATACTACCGAGCTACAATCATAGTCTGCAAAGTTCACCGACTATTCAGAGTGGATATGTGTCAGGAATAGCTAAACCAATAGCACGACCAACGGCCTATCACCCTCATCATCCACCCCATCCGACACATCAACCGGGACCGCCGGCACAACATCCTTTCCCACCACACGCACATCATACGCTGCAATTGTTGGCTTGTCGTGGACCCTACCTAACAGGTAACTATCATTTCTAAAACACAACAATGTATGGATTCTCGTGATGTGCATAAATTCTTTCTGCTTTTATAATATCAGACGCCGAGCACGCTTGCTTGCGCGCGCGTGAAAATATGTCTTATGTCACAGATTAATAATCTGTAAAATTATACTGTTAAAAAATTATTCCTGAAATTTTATAGAAATAGTTTAGAACACAACACATTCATATGAAATTTCCTGCTTATTACCACTAATAAGTCACCCAGACTCTAAACGTTTCAGGCATTACAAAGGTGGGAAAATCTTGAAGTAAATTTAGATAGTTGACGCTATGTATATGTTCCATAAGAAATTTCATGTATAGGACAGTACACACACACTAATGAAAGGAAATTTCACGTACAGTACAGTGCATACGCGTCAATAAACAATGAAGGATTAGTGAAAATGAGTATAAGTCGTGATCAATGAACAGCGACGAATGAGTGTGACAGATTTTAGGCTTCAATTATCGAGAGTTCCTATTCGATTCGATATAAATGTTGATCTCCCTTTTAGATAGGATTGATACTAATACATTACAAAATTTTCCATCAAGTATCCAATGTCAAAAAAGAAGGAAAATAAGTGATGAGAAATATAGGATATAATAGAATCGCCCGAGTATGCACTTTTATAACCTTGTCACATCGTTGTACCAGTACTAGGTTCAATTTCATGATAGTAATCCCATTTTACTTTTTACTTCTTTTATGTCCACGTTGAATGTGAAATGATTACAAATTGTAACCTCTTCATTTCTATCCACTTGCTTTCTTGAGAATAACTAATATATGAGCTCTAGTTCTCATAATAGCTTTCGAGGGCCCAATTTTTGTTCTGAATTCTGATTTTTTTCGGAGAAAATATGAAATAATCGAAGCCATTGAAATTACGAGAATGGAATTTTCATTTTCGTGTACTTAAAGGTAATTACAATGCTTCCATACTGAGCGTCGTTCGATTCAAACGGCTGCATATTGGGATGTGGTTTTTTGCAGTGGGACTATGGTATTCAAGCCGATGGTGAGGACTGGCTAACCACACAAAAAAAAAACTCGTCCCAACTCTCCGGATAATGCTTTTCCGAAGTAACTTTCAAGTTGGAGAGTTGATACTTCGTACGAATTCTCGGACAAGGAAATGTGAGAAGCCGTACAGAGTAGGGCATATTTTGTCTCAATTAGAAATTTCTATGAGATATATTAAGTGAGGAAATTCCTGATATTTATATTTTTCTATATTATACTGCTTTCTTTATACTCTTTTCTTCAGACAAAGTGAACATGTCACAAAAATGAGATTTAATGACTAGAAATAATAATGCGAAATGATTTATCCCTTGATTATATTTTTTTATACTTCTGAACAACATCGTGGGCGCCGGGGCCTCTAACAATTATGTGATTTGTTTCATAGAGATTTTTATCTTGAGACTTAAATTAAATGGTGGTTTTACTTCTTCTGGTCTTGGAAAGATCATTTTTCAAAGTAATGGATAGATTTTAGCGTAGGCTTTCCTATTTTATTATTTCAAATTTATGGTGAAAACAATTAATTCAGTGAAGCAATGGGCAATTTACTCATTTTTTCTGACTTGTTTTATAGTCCCAATATTGAAGTCCCCAGAACAATAATGTTTTCGAAAATTTTTTGGCAGTTCACACTCCGCGCATGGCTCCACTCCTTTTTATGAAAAGTAGTATTTAGAAGCAAGAAGTACCCACGTACGAAGTGCCAGTCTTCGCGAAATGGGCCAAGTCTGGCATGGAACTGAGCTTGCCAGGCCTGACACACCAGGCTTGGCCGGAGGGATGGCCGTCCCTGGCCGCCAGGGTTTGAGCTTCGGGGGAGGGTCAAGTAACCGAGCCATGCTTGACAGATCTGGCTCAGCCCGGGCTGAAATCTGGCATGCCGAAGCTTGGTAATCGAGCCGCTGTCAACGTTGGCCCGGAGTTTGGTCATCTGATTCCAGCCGGCGATGTGATCTTCTTTTGAGGGTTAGGTCGTAAGGATGAAAATAGAAGTGTAGGGGTGGAACCATACAGGTGACAGTTGAAGATTTAATTTCCGAAATTCCGTAGAAGGAAGTGAGAAGATCATAAAAATAAAATTTTAAGGGTGTAATCGTCGAGATATATTATTAACGTGGTATTGTATGGATTTAAATCATACGTTATCCGATAGTTATAACAAATAAAATATGACGTAAAAAATTCATCATTCACTGTTATATAATAGTGATAATTATTATTATTTTCATTATTCATTATTAAATGAATCTACCGATTTAACTATGTCGAAATCATTTACCATGTCTATCAACTGAATAATAAAATGTGTAAGTAGAAAGATACTGTGGCGGAATTGATGTATACATATAGCCAATTGGACATGGAGACTCTAAGAATTGCCCGATAGATTAGTGGTTAGGAGCGCAGAATTAGTAATCCTTAAGCCGTAGCTTCAAACCCAAGTAGTTGTAATATTTAAAGTTACCAAAATCGGGTTTCTCGCGACAATTGCGTAAGGGTTGCGTAGGTAATTTCTAATTAATGATAAAAATCATCTCTAAAAGTATTATTTTTTTTTAATTCTATTTAAAATTATCATTGATATTGTGGCAGCCATGCCTGTGCCAGTTGCGTGTCGGTTGTGAATTTCGTTCTACCCTTGAACCTGTCGTGAATGTTGTAATGTTGAATTACTTCCATTTCAACTACACATAATATATTATTTTGTGATTGCGAACTAATTAGATCAACCTGACCAACAACTCAAAGTTCGACCCCAGACCTGACCTGATGGTTGAACGAAGACCGGCGCGATCGCGGCTAAGCAATGGTCCCCAAACGTAGTATGGTAGTACGGCCGCCGAGATCGGCTCTGATTCGGCCCATTTTTCTTGTCGGACCTGGAATATTACTCCTCTTTACTACTACCTAATCTAGATCCTATCCAACGACTACTTTGATGTTACAAAAATGTGGAACGCTATAAAAATCTTCCTCTCTTCTAAGTATTTTAATCTTCGTTTTTGCATTTCCTCCGGTGTATTCGTGGAATTTAATAAATGGATTCGTGGAATTTTAATAATTATTCCCGGATATATACATATATTTGAAAAGATTTGTGCGGTTAGAATTCAATTCCGTTGATGAATATTGATTCAAATAATAATATAACGAGATCTACTGTGCACTCCGTGCGCCGAATTCCAGTTTCGATTTCGGATTCGAGTTGACCAATAGGGAATCAGTCTTACGAGTTTCGACTCAGGCGAACTTCATTTACGTATCTCTGCTTTCATGATAAGGATACTAATGAACAAATTGAAGTTAGAGGACTATTTTCCGCTCGCAAATACTTTGCTTGTAAGTTCAATAGGTTTATACATATCCACACAAAAAATGATTGAAGTAAGTATATTTTGAACTTAATTCAGCTATAAACCATACTTGATTCAAGTCTATTTTTTCGTCACTTGGTCCGGCCTAATTTCGCTTTACTAGTATTACTTACCTTCTTCTAAAATTACTTACCGGTCTATGCCTGGTCAGAACTCAGTTAATTGGGCCATGTGACATAAACCGATTTCATATGGCCTGATAAGCATTTTGCCGATAAATTCAATGACAATGTGCGTCTTCACAGTTTATTTAATGCGTATCGGAATGACTTGATCAGTTCTTCATGAGCAGTGCCTGATCAGGCAAACCTAGTGACCTGAAGCACTTTACATTCGAAATGTCCAGCAAAATAATTCCGCATTCGTGCCCCGGTGGAAATTTTACTGGCGATAAATAGCTTAGTACTTATTACAAATGCTTTTCTGAATGATGAATTAAAGTCAGTAAAATTGAATTTGACGTTTCTAATCGTAGATAGGTTCGTGGCATCACATACGAAACATTCCAAGTTTGATACTCCGACAAGTAGACTGCTAAGACCTAAGAATTTAGAGTTGTAGTAAAGTTCGCAGATGCAAAGAGAAAAAGGTATCAGAGCGATGCCAAGTGATGAAACATTAAAGGAAAAAAATCATTCCTAATTCAGTTTGAATGTGAAGCAGCTGATCGCAAACCTCTTGAAGTGCACTGTGAGAAACATTTTCTTCTTGATGCATATTTTATTTTTACTACTCTTATCGGCTGCCGTTTTTGTCTGCCTCGCTTCTCTCACTATTTTCCATGTTTTCTCCTCTTTTTGGAATTAATCATGACCGGAGTTCCTCTACTGCGCCCATTCGGATGGGTGCAGTTGGCAGATATTATGAGGATTTGCGTATGCCCGTCAGTCATATCGGCTGGATAAGAATAGTTAGTTCCTATAATCATACCTCGCACCAGTAGTAATCCGCGGAGTGGCATGGCGAAGCATGCCAAATGCTGTATAATGCGGACGGCCGTAGGATTCGTACACCACTCGTATGAATACGACCGTCGCTGAACCAATTTTCTTTCGAAAAGTACGTGTTGACTTGTACCTGAAAACCCATAATTTAAAATTTGATAAGACAGCATTTTAAATTCAGAAAGAAGACCATTTATCTACTAAACTTTTACTCGTTCTCAAGATTATGGTCCATTTGCTGACATAAGAAAGCAAATTGTCGCACTAAGTTGAAAAGTTTTGGCATTAAAATATATTGTTCCGAATGCGCGAGACCGCATGCGTCCATGGAGAATTAACGCTTTAGCGGTGAAAATCAATAAGAAAATAATTATATTTTCCACAGTAAGTTAACGAGAAATAACAACAGTAATCAACTAACTTCTTTTCATTGGTAAATATAAAATTCGATGTTTCAGTTTTTTTAACTACTACCAATTTTGGTAAGTGTATCGTTTAGCCCCCCCCCCTCTCTCTCTCTTCCTCTCACCCGTAAATTAACGTAATTGAAACACTAATTTCTTTCATATTAACCAAGAGCATTTCCTTCAAAAAGACAAGACAGATCGAAAGAAAGAGTAAGAAAG